GAGCTGGGGGGAGAGGGGGAGAGAGGGGGAAAAGTGGAAGATAGAGAGGAAGAGAGAGAGGGGGGAGAGGGGTATGAATTTGCATAAATGCCCTGAGGTAAATGGACAGGTCCCGATTTTGACACAGAGGTGAGGAGAACATCTGCTCAAACATTTGCTTTAGCTCACACACAGACGACCCAAGGTTTTTAAACTCCCCACCCGCTGGCGTGGTAAGTTTGGGGGGGGGCACAGGGGGTTGTTGTAAGTGTTTTAGAGCCATGGACAGCTAGAAAAACAAAAGAAGAAGTCTTGGTTGAAGCAAATTGCAGACGACAGCTTATGACGTATATACGAAAGCTACAGGCAAGTTTCACTGGACACATAATGCGGAAAGAAGCATTGGAAAATATTGTAACAGCAGGCAAGTTTGATGGAAAGAGAGGCAGAGGCAGACAGAGGGAAAAGATACTGGACAAGTTGACAACATTCCTGGGAGCAGCAAGAACAACAGACACCATTGCTGCAACGCAAGACAGAGTGAAGTGGAGGTCCCTGGTCGCCCACGCCAGTCGGCAAGGCACCGGATGATGATGATGAACTGCAGAATGTCAAATGAGCGCGCGGGACACATTCAACATTTCCACACTATATACAGTATTTTAGCACCTATAAATAATTTTCCTCACCTCACCCAGGTGGGAACGGGTACCCGGCTAAAAACAGCGAAAGATTTTGTCTGTATGTTAGTGTTTTAGCGCCTATAAATAACCGCTTGCATTGTATGCTTCCCAGGAAGTTGAAGTTGTTTCAGAATGCTCTCAGGTCTTCTGGGGTAATAGTATAGATTATGAAGTGCATAGAGCTTGCTGTTGGGCAGGGATTTGCGCTATGCAAATGCTTTCTATTATTAATATTATTAGGAAATTTTGAATTTTGCCCCAGTGGCGGCCGAAGCCTACTCTTCTCGATTTTGGACCACCAAGGAATTTTAACTTGCGCAACTTGCGCACGGGACCTACGAGATTTTTCGCTCTTGTCCGAGAAGGCTAGGTGTATATCTTTCCTACAAGAAGATCAGGGGTGTGGCAAAAAGATAGCAGTAAGGAGGAGCCAAGGAGTAGCAGTAGAAAGGTTGCAGAAAGAGTCAGAAGCCCAGAGGAGGGTGCAACTGAGGTGAGGGGGTGGGGGCTCGTCGGCAGTTGGTGGCTTTTTTGAAAATGTAAACTACTTACAATACACATACATTATTTCACTTCGCGTCGCCCAGTCTAGATCTATCACCTGCAAGGAAAAAAAATCCTTGAAGATTCGGAAGGCTTGGTAAACATTTGTGTGTGTGTGAGAATGACGTGCTAAACAGGTCTACAAATAAACGGGGAGCCAGAGAATCGTCATGACGTATTGTAGTGATTTTTCTACGGACGCCAAAATGCCAGACACCAGATAGACCTTCGTGATTACAAGATTTCCGCCATATCATTTATAGGCCAGGCTTTGACCTTTCTCCCCCCCC